CTTATATATATATATATATATATATATATATAATGATGTATTTTATGTTAGATTAATTAGTATTAGTGGCATTTTTAAATGTTATTTAAAAATTAATTTATCATAATATAAAAATTTAAGTATCAGATGTATAATATATTAAAACTTAATTTTATCCATGCAAATCTCCTCTAAAAATATTCTAAATTATTATTAGTATTTAAATCGAGGTTTTTTCATGCATTCCACCCAACTCATGTATATACTCGTCTAATACCTAAATTTTATTGTATTTTTTTATATTTATGACACTCAAATCTTTCATATTATATCAAAAATATCACGGTGCGAAATTACACGATTTAACTTAAATCGAACATATTTAATCTAATTATGGTGGGCTAAAATGCGAAGTTTTTAGAGGGAGCTTTAGTCATATGTGGGGCATTTTTAGTAGCCCAAAGAATGCTAAGAAAAAAAGGAAATGTTAACCGCCTCTTTGTCTATGTGAAGCAGACGAGGGAATCGCATAATCAAGAAGATGGCGATAGTGAATAATGATGATTTTGATGTGATATGAAAGATTTAGATGTTATGAATTTTAAAAAGTAAAATTTTAGGTGTTAGACATTTAAATACATAGAAAAGAATTGGAGAAAAAGTGAAGTTTAGGTATTATAAATGTAGAAGAGAGAAAGCCATGTTTGATCACAATATTGAAATGCAATTTATATATAATCTCATAACTTGTAAAAACAACTAAAACTCAAATAACATAAGTAGGGCTGTCAATTTGGCTCGTTGTTCGTGAACAACTCGTGTTCGACTCCTGAACACGAACAAATTTTTAAGCTCGAAATGTAAACGAGCCGAACACGAACAACAGTTTGTTCGCTCATGTTCGGCTCGAAATGACTCGAAAAAAAAAAATTATATAACTTTTTATATAACAATATATTACATATATTATTTATATAATAATATATTATATATATTTATGTCTAAGTTTAAATCATAACACCTCATGTGACAATATGGTTAGTGTCTTTTTTTTTATAGATTTGATCAAGGTTCGAATCTCACACTTTACATCTATTTTTCTCAATTTTAGTTTAACGAGTCAATTTCAAGCCGAACATGAGCCGAACACGAACACGAATATTTAAATCGAGTCGAACACCAACACACTGTTCACAAACCGATTTCGAACACGAGCCGATTTCGAACACGAGCCGAACACGAGCCAAGCCTGAGCTCGCTCAAGCTCGGCTCGTTTACAGCCCTAATCACAAGTACAAAATAGCAATAACAATAATACAAACGCAACTAATAAAGTTGTCTCATAATAAGTTGCAACAAAATGAAATAGCATATCAAACCTAACCTGGGTATGTGCACAAGCGAGGATGCGATCCAATAACAAATTCAATCTAATTATGTAGCAATAACCCATCATTAGTCATCATAAAAATTATGCCAGCATTGTCATCCTTCAAGGTTTCATGGACCTTAATCATAACTCCATTAGAAAAACATAGGAATACTGTAAAGTTTGCCAAACATTCAACAGTTGTGTATGGAGAGTGACGGTCAGTGCATTGCTGAAATAGCTGTGTTTTTGCTCAGTGCCTCTAGCAAGACTTCAATATTATATGTATTCAATCTTACTTAATAGAGTATCTGTTCTGACAGACTCTTGTGGTTGTTCCTTTGCAATTGGTCAATTGACCTGATGTTTGTTGCATGCTCACATCTTCATCTAATTGAGCATCTAATTCTAGATTAGGCACATCTGTCTCATTTAGATAGTTTACCCCATGCACAACCATATAATCAACAGGCTTAGCAATTTCCTCTTCTTCAACTGCTCTGGAGAAGTCCCCTGGTTGGAACGTACAGCTCCATTATGGGTTGCTATATTGTTCACACAGATTTTTTTCAATTGGTGTAAAGGACTTCTTCAAAGTCATTTTCACTTCGAGTTGCCACATTTGACGATTACTTCAAACTAGGGTTGCCACATTTGATCAACTTTTCTTTTAATAATTTCTTCACCACTATAGAATGTTTAACATCAACAAAGTCAATCTAATAGAAAAATCATTAGTATGACCCTTTAAAATCATAGATTAGCAAAGAAGTGACACCAATTTTATGTCTCGGTGCAATTCTTTAAATAAGAAACATTCAAACTTTGATTAAGAGCCATACAGAGCTCCAATTTTAGCAAACTTATAGTCAAATTGATCGGCTTGATGAGACGGACCTAATGATATAAAAGTCAGTCCAATCCGAGTCAAATAAAGCCCAGATCAAATCATTAAACCACCTTGGAGGATTTTTGGAGGTATTTGAAAAGTCAAACGGATGTCGAATCTAGCGAGTTCATAGTTGAATCGAGCATCTCGACAAGACGAATCTAATGAGCCCAAGAGCCCAAGATTGGTCAGCCCAAGATTGGTCAATTCCAACATCGTTAAGGCATTCAAATGTCCATCAAACGTCATCTGATTAAGAGAAGCTCTCCGGACCATCCAAACAAAATGGTTCATATTTTTGAATTAATTGGACTCAAAACACTATAAATAGAGCCTCACCCCTCACATGAAATGAGTTGGCTTAAGAGAGAACTTGAGGCTTTCAGAAGGAGCTCAAGTCTAAGATCATCCTCGCCATCGTCGATCGCCGTTAGCCACCACTGACCCTCGGCAACGACCGCC